ATTTACACAATAAAAACTTTATTGAAGCCGTTCGGCTTCTACTTTAAAATATCACTCTACAAGTACATGTTTCGAGGTAAAGTGGTAGCCGTACGGCTTCAATAGTTTTTTTATTGTGTCAATACAAAACGTTGTTTTTAATTATTTATTATAATTTTAAAAATTTTAAACACAAGTGCCGGTAGTGCATATAGTAGTAAACATTGTTTGGAATACTCGTATTTGGGAATGGAAAATTAATATTTTAAAGATTGAAAGTGTCACTTTTATTGACAAGTTCAAACTAAAATGTGTGGTTAATTATGATGATATATAAATCCAGATAGTTCGCTTTTTTTGTAGTTGAAGAGCTTTTTCTAGAGTGAGCTTTGGTGAATAAATGTGTTAGGCTGTGTCGAGAAAGCTTTGATGACTTTGTCACCCTTGGGTAAGGGTGTAGAGGGAAGGTCGGTTTTAACTGAGAATATTACAACAGCTATGCACCTGTAGCCCTTTATGTAGCTTTGCGTGAACATTTTAAAATGAACAACTTTAAACGTGATATAGCTCAAGGTTTAAATAATCATTTGGTTATTATTCGTTGAGAAACTGATCGCTCCATGGTGCTGATGATTAATCGTAGCTAAATAGGCTGGAAGTTAGTCCATTCTTGTTTACCATAGTTTATAAATTGACCGCAGGTAGATTTAATCCGAAAGGCATGTATACACGTGTAGTACTACAGATATATATATGCACATGTATAATTATCAAATAAAATGTATATCACGTTTATAAACATATTTTTATCATATGGAAATTACATTTTGAATTTAAAAATTAAAAATAAATGTTAGACTACGAATTTTGAACTGCTCACTCAAAAATATAATACTGACAGATGGCGCTGTTTTCTTTTCCACGTGTTTAAACATTCCTGAATAAATATTTGGTTTAACCTTAGGTAAGAGTGGACGTCTTTGCTTGTCTTCGAATCTTAGCGTTACAGCCAGGAGCACGTATATTTAACAAGTATGTATCACTGAAGTTATTTTCAGTTTTTGTCAGATGTGCTTGATTTTAAAATATCAGTTCTTGATTCCTCTCTTGAGAAACTAAAAGTGACACTTTTATTTTATTTAACTTTATAAGTATTTTTAAATGAAAGCTGGTTACTATATATATTATCTATATAGTCTAAAATTTCGCATCGTTTTAATTTTCATCTTTAAACTTTATGTACTTGCACTGACATTAGGCCTCTTACCATAGATGCTGTGCCCGACTCCGTGTACCGCTAGTAAAGTGCTATGTAATAATGTATACATTATAAGTGTTAATTGTAACTGTTGTAAAAATATATATTTTAATAAAACTGAGTGCAATTATTTCACGAAATAGGCAATCAATGCTGTTAATATAGTATTTGAATACTGTTACTAGACATACTTGCGCAATCCCCGAAAGCGTTCTCATTCGAGAGTTAATAAAAGTAAAAGTAACAGATAATTTTATTTCTTGCTTTGGAATTTTATATGTCATGCTGTGTTCTAGCTTATAGAGTGCGTAATTCATCTCGTGATTCACGGTATGCGTTACGTCAGTAAAAATTGCCAAGTTTAGCGCCCCTTATGTAACGTATTTTTGGTGTACTGACTGACAGCCAACACACTACTGGATTGTGGTGCGAGTGGTTAAAGCAGGTGATCCCACCAGGAGGCCGTCGGTCCCTTTCGGGAAAATTAATAATAATATTTTTATTTTATTTATTTTGTTGATTTTAACGCAGAAGTTCAAATATATTCGAAAATGGAAGTAATACTACTAATAGTAACAGTAATGTGTATAAATATCTAATACCTATAGATTAAATAGTGGTTTGGGTTATTTTAAGATTATGATAATTTCGGGAAAAATTTGATGTTATTGTGTAGTGAAGAAGTGAATAATTCTGGATAATAATTTCAGAAGCAGATAGAGTAGGCTGTCAAAAGCTCTAGGGCTAGTATTTTTTTTTTTTTTTTTATGTGATTCTTTTATGCAAAGTAGCCATAGCATATAAAAATCAAATATTAGACCAGGAAATTTTTGTTTAATATATTCGCTATACATTTTCATACTCTATGAAAATGTCCAAAAAAATTAACATTTGTACCTTCTCAAAATTATTATATTAGTTATGGTCTGTATTGTAATAATATATTTATATAAAATATAATTACAATTTCTACAGGCTTGTCCCCTCCCATTTTTAAGCTATTTTGTACAATATGTTTTAATTAATCTATAATTGTGTTCTTTTGAAAACTTATTTAACTGAATAATAAGTTTTTAAGAAAGCTGACTTAGAGGTTTCAAGTTATGATACTAGAAGAAAATAGGGAGGTTGACCAAAATAATAAAATATTGATAAATTTATATCAGTATAATCAGACTTGCTTGAAATGATGGTTGTAATTGAAATCTTGCATTGTAGCCAAAATTAAATAGTGTTGAACAATGCCCCTTCCCTCCTATTTTCTATTACTTGATGTTCATTTATGTGATGGTTAGTTAGCCAAAAGAATGGATGAACCTACAAGAGTATATCAAAACATTTCCCATGATGCCTTATTTATTCTTTTTTTTTCTCAGTCTTCTGCCCAGCCTTTTAAAGAATATTTGTCGTAGATTCTAGAAGAAACAGTATTATTAGTTCTGTTACAAGTAAGTTGTTGGATATGTTACCAGATATTTAGAAAACCTCTAAAAAGCTGGCACTTGCTTAATACAATATTAAAAAAAATTATACTTCACTGTCTAAGTGTGTGTGTTTTGTAAGATGTACTAGATGTTTAATAGAACTGCAACAGTTGTAAGGGGGGTGATTGATTAGATATCAGCACTACAAAACAGTGAAAACAATCTAGGTATAACCAATTGCATTTTAAGAAACAAGTTAAAATTGTACTGGATGTAGAAACTACAAAAGGTACAGTTTTTAGGATAACAATTGCAGTATAGCTCCCAAAAAGCACTAAAGACATTCCAGTTAGAGGTGCAAAACTATTTTGAGGATGAGCAGTCATAAGGACACGAAAAATCATAGTGTGCAGGAATGGTGAAATATGGAAAAATTTGGATTTGTTTTCACTGGAGAGTAGAAGAACCCAATGTACTTTGATTCAGGTGTTTATAACTATTAAATTTTTGTATAAACTGTCCATGGAATATTTGTTTCAATAGAAAGTTGGACTTGTAAATTTCAGAGAGAAAGGCAAGGAAGTTCAGATTTAGACTTGTACTCCAATTATGCTACTGCTGTTAGTTTTAACCTCATTAATTGTATTCTTAATAACATGGTGTGTGTGTGTGCTGTTAATTTGACTTTGTCCAAGAAGGCTACATTTAACTGGGGTTGGTCATCTTTTTTGGGGGGAGTTAAGGGACATTAATGAGTAAATGGACTTTATCACCTTTCTTGTTATAAAAATTTGTTTTAGTAAAAGAATAAAAATATGAAAAACTGAATTTCATATTTTAATACTACATAAAGAGAGAATAGAAACCAAGTAGTAAGAGGTAGCTTGTGTTGTAGCTTTTAAAGCTGGGCATTTCAAATGTGTATGGGGAAATAAGTGCAGGCAGTAATTATTAGGAAAGAACTTAGGTGTATCACCTGAACAGTTAAATATAGGTTTGTTTCCAAATGTAGATGTTTTCAATTAATCATTACTTTATGTTACCAATTTCAATAGCTTTTGAACAAAGCATGCCAAACATTATAATTAAAATTAAATATATTTCCTTCATTTGTTAATACTATTGCATTGATGAGGCCTTTGGCCTAATACCAGGGCTTTTCAGGCTGGCTGGGATACAAAGGAGGTAATAGTTATTGAGATGTTATTTATTGTTTGACAATAACTGTTACTGTATGAACTGGATTAGGTTTTTGAAGTGTAATTTTTTTTCATAATTTTCCATTTATGTTGCATCAAAATTAGGGTAAAGATTACTTAAAACTGCTATTTATTTTAGCTTATTATATTATTCATTCCTAGAATTAACCTGCTCATTATTCATAACTGGTAAATCAGCTCTTTCAAAGACCACACTAATAATCAAAAGTAAAAACATTGTTGTTTTACATAATTTTTGTTTTTCTCCATTATGACATGTAAAACTAACCACTGGTGGCTTGAAAACTGTTTTGTATGTATTAATTTAAAATGTTTATCAGTTAAACAATAAGTGTTACATTCTGTGTAATTTATTTCTTTGTGAAAAACTTGTTTTTTCATCTATTAACATGTGTTTATTGGCTTTTCTTTTGAAACAGGTAATTTTCTCTAATTCAAGATGGTCAACTTAGGTGAGGTTTTTCCAAATTTTACTGCTGACACCACCATTGGCACCATAGACTTTCATGACTGGATTGGTGATTCGTATGTATCTTTAAAATTTTCATGCATAAAATTTGTAAAAAATATTAAACATGGAGAAACATTAAGTATGCAAGTTTCCTTGTAAATCATGATGTTCAAGTGAGATATCAAAACAGTACTTTTTCCATAGTATAACTTATTCTTTATGTTAATCTTTTGATGTATAAACCATGAATTGTTATACTTTCTGTACTTAAAAAATGCACATACAGAATTTACTAATTCATACATTTTTTAAACTTTTGTATATAAAGTATACAGGAGTTTAGCATCTGAGGATGTGTATCCAAGTCAAGTGTACATTGAATGAAAAAAAGGAAAAGGGAAGAAGATAAACCTAGATAAATTACTGAAATATTAACTGCTAAAAAGAGCTTTATAAATTTTTCTTCTACACAGTTTAGCACTTTTCAACAAGTAACTAGATGTATTTTTTTTTTTTTAAACTTACATATTTAGTTAATTATCATTTGATGAAAAAGTCTTATCAGACTTGACTCTCTACAAGTATTTTATTTTAGCAAAAGTACTCAGTATATGAAAAAGTTATTCCTCCTCTAGTACTTATCTTCTACATTTCCTTTACACTAAATGTTTTAATGTAACATGTTTTTTTTCCTTTTTCAGAATTTACCATTAAGTAGAGAAATGTTTTAATGTAACATGTTTTTTTTCCTTTTTCAGAATTTTCCATTAAGTAGAGAAATGTTTTGTATTTGTATATTTTTTTATATTTGGAAAATATGATGTATCAGAACCAATGATACATACTTGTTTCACAAAACATGCTGATCTCATTCCATGTTAAGTTTTTGTTGTACAGTCAACCTTACATGAATATGCTTTGTTTAGCATGAGTGTGCTAACCTTTTAAGGCAGTTTAGAGAAACTGCATGCATTAATACACCAGGTTTTCTTAAAGGATTCACGTACTGGTGAACATCACTTTCTTTTCCTATTTAAAGAATTGGCATTGATTTTTATTTTTGTATGTACATGTACTTTGTATGCAAATTAACCAGCTTTGCATCTCGTCATGACCAGTTTTTAGATCAAGTAGTTTTTGTTTTTCTCTAATGATGGCAAGATAAAACAAAATTATGATATTGCTGATGCTGTCTAAATATCTGTAAAAGTTTTTTGTTTTCTTTGTCTGCTTTTCACAGAACTAGTTTACTGTGTTTATTAGCCAAACTTGTGGAACATGTTTGAAATTACCAAATAGTGACCTTTGCTTTATACATAAACTAAAAAAAAAAAAAAGAATGCACTATTTTCCTATGTTTCAGATCTGAAACTTGTAGTTTAGAAATATTTTTCTAGCAGTCTGTATGTTTACTTAGTTTACCACCAATTATAAAGTCATTACTACTGTTTTTCAAACTCTTTGGTGAGTCATAGTTTTACAAATAAATAAATAAGTAAAAAATAGTTTTTACTTACTAGCTGCTATTGAGTTAATTTCGTATTTTATAAACATGCTAGTCCTAATACTCTGATATCTCTCTTTTATTTATAAGAAAATGTTGTATAATGCCGATAAATCATAGAACTTTTGGGAACTAAATTTCCTAATCAGTTTCTTTTGTAAGCTAGTTTCAAAGAACAATATTTGACAATTACAATTTTTTATCAGAACGACTTTCTTAAATTGTTTATAAAATCATGTGTAAGAAGTCTTACGATAGTTGATTGTGATCTTTATCACTTCCACTACGTCCCAGAGAGTTTTAATCTTTAATAAAATAAAAGGAGTATCCCAAATATTGAGTGGTTGTGGTACTAATACATGGCCATCATAATATGTGATAGTTGATTGTGATCTTTATCACTTCCACTACATCCCAGAGAGTTTTAATCTTTAATAAAATAAAAGGAGTATCCCAAATATTGAGTGGTTATGGTACTAATACATGGCCATCATAATATGTGATAGTTGATTGTGATCTTTATTACTTCCACTACGTCCCAGAGAGTTTTAATCTTTAATAAAATAAAAGGAGTATCCCAAATATTGAGTGGTTGTGGTACTAATACATGGCCATCATAATATGTGTAATGCTATAATTTTATATTTCAATTTGTTTGTTATCGCTTATATTAGATTTAAAGTTTGGGTTATACTACAAAACATTAACATCAATCTCGGTTACCACAATTATTTTATTTTAGTAGTCTATTGTAATTTATTATATAAAGCTTTCAGTCCTCTACTCACCAAACCTTCTTAATAACCATAGAATCTTTACTGGAGTTTATTTTGAGTGACTGAACTTCTGAAATAGTCTTTGTGTTCCTTGAGAATATTGTAGTTTATATAATTTTTTGGAGATTTTTCTGTTTGAGTTCATGCAGTCTCTTAGTGGCAGACAAGAACAATGGCTATCTTGTAGCTATTTCTTGAGCACAATTTTTCATAAAGGTATTTGAAACCTTATTTAAATTGTATTTCTTTACCGCTGTTTATTCAAACTCTTTATTTTCTCTGGTAATGATTAGGATTATTTTCTAGAAATGGTAGATATATAATTTTACAATCAAAATATTTAGTTAGTATCAGGTTTATTTTTCACTTTATTTATTTTTACTTAGCAAGATTTCCTATTATAGTTGTGTTGAGGAGCTTGCTAGATTCTAGTTAATCGGATACTTGTAAAGATTTCATAGCAGACAGTAATTTTACCTCATTGGTAATCAGGATTGTTTTAATTTCCAGGTAATCCAGATTCTTTGTTAAAATTAACTTCTCTGTAATAGTTGGGGTTAACTCCTAATCATTTCATCATTAGTGAAGGTGGGGTTGTTTGTTAAAAGTTTATTTATTCTAATGGTAATCTAAATGTTCTACTGGGAGTTATTATATCCATTGGTTGTGGTCAAGATTTTTTTGTGGTTATATCTTGAGGGATTAATATTTTCTGATCAGGTTCCTTCATTTCATTGTATCAGATCAGCTTTCTTTGCTATAGTATGTTTTATACTGACTATAATGCTTTTAGCCTCATTTGTGCTAATAAGGGTTGTTTGCTGAATTTTTATCAGGAAATCTCATTTTTAATGTACCTTTGTACTTAACGTTTTGGCAGTAAACAGGGTTATTTGCTGAAATCTTAATGTTTAGGGACCACAATTATTTTTAAAGTTTCTGTTGAAAGTACTTTATTAGTGGTTCTAAGGTTGCTTGCTGAAGGTTATTTAAGTAGTCAGTATTTTTTTAGTTGTTAACTGAAATGAATTTAATTTCAGCATGGATTTATTTCCTTGACACTGATCTGTATTGTTTGGTATCTTGTGATTTTGGAATGATCACAATGTTTTTTTAGTGAGTTTTGAGAACTGTTTGCTGGATCTTGGTAATGATAACACAAAACTATAATCCTATGATCATCTAATAAGCTTTGATTTTACCATCAACTTAATATTTTGTTAAATTAATATAATTTATCTCTGTTTTAATGAAAATTTATATGCTCAGGTGGGCTATTTTGTTCTCTCATCCTGCTGACTACACTCCAGTCTGCACATCAGAGCTAGGGAAGGCAGCCACTTTGAATCCTGAGTTCATCAAGCGTGGAATCAAGATGATTGCCCTATCCTGTGACAGTGTAGACTCGCACAAGGGATGGATCTCGGTATGTCATAAACAATAAAAAGCATTTTCATTTCTTTTTTATGGATAAAAATCAATATGGTACAGTTTTTCATTTATTTAGATTTTATCAATTACTTTTTTGTAATGTTTGCACCTCTTTTAAGTCTTTAAACCAACATA